ATAAGTTGAACCTAACCTATTTTATATGTTATCTGACCTAATAGGTATTGTTTAAATTAAAAAAAATATATACTAATTAATAATTTATAAACGGCGTCAGTTTTACGTTTCGTTCCACCAAGTCGGCAAAAGACGGTAAACACTACACTACACATTTTAATTTTGATAGCTCGTAATGAAAATAATGCAATATTTTCATTACGAGCAACAATGCACGATCAATAATGCATTTTTTTTCAATTTCATAAATATAAACTGTTAAATATGTGTGTGCATGAAAGGTACTGAAATGAGTACAAAATATAATTATTTACGTAAGTTTACATAAAACAAAATGTTACCGAACGTATGACAACTTAAAGGTAGGTAAAACGAAACATGGCTAGAAGGCTAGAATTCTATATTATCTGTGGTATGGATTGACATAAATATTGCTAAAATAATTGATTTTCAATTTAAAAAAAAACTACGCGTCTTCGCATATTGAAACTTTGCGTGTGTGCTTCTTATAATGTAACCTTTCTGTAAAGAAATATCAACCCCTAACTCGACGGACGTCAATCTGAGCCCTAGCCATTAAATAAATATACATTAATATAAAAACTTACGCAAATACTATGTCTCTTTTCTTAGCATATATATGGTTGAGAAACCGTAAGAGTACACACAGGTCTCATCTACTTCGAGAAATTTTGCTAGACGTTCCCCCAGGTCTAAATGTCAATCGTTCCATAAAACAGTCGGGGTCCACATGACGCCACACCAAATTTGTCTAAAGTTTTTAAAGCACCATTCATAATTGACTCCACCTTAAGAAGGCAAAGAAAACTAGTAGCCCCCACGTTCAAGACATTCTCATCAATTTTACACATCAAACGAGGTTCTTCAACAGCAACATCGTACTCTACGATGGGCAGAGGCTTCCAGTTAGTTGGAACTCTTATGTCTATCCATAATTTGAAAAATAAAATAAAAAATTTGGTGAGTTACATTGACCGAATTTTTATATTATTTCCTGACAAAATCATACCCGTCATCCATGGATAATAAGCTCGATGGATAAAGTTAAACTGATGTAAAGTAAGTTACTCAATGGGTCAAAAAATAAATATCATTTTGAATAGTAAACTTTTACAATAATCAATGTTGTAACTATCACTTATATAGTTTACTAGCTGAGACCCGCGGTGTTACCCGCGTTTGTTGTTATAACCGCGGGCAACGCCGCGGGGCGAAGCTAGTCTAAAAAAAGTAGCCTAAGTTACTCCTTATGTCATCAGCTATCTGCCAGTGAAAGTCCCATCGAAATCGGTCCAGCCGTTCCAGAGATTACCCGGAACAAACAGACAGACAGACAAAAATTGTAAAAAATGTTATTTTGGCATATGTACCGTGTAAACATACATATGCACTTAGTAAAAAGCGGTTATTTTAATATTACAAACAGACACTCCAATTTTATTTATTTTTATAGATTAGATACAAGAAATTAATGTATGATCAATGTAGAAAGTTGGTATTATTGCGTACTAACACATTTTTAGCTGGTACTTGACATGATACAAGACCCTGAAAAATAGTACGTATACCAAGAAATTGGTACGTATAAGATCTTGCACTAGATGCAAATAGTATGTCGCCAGAATCTTGAAATTTTGACTGTAAAAAAAACACTAGTTTTCACAATGATTTTATTTACAAGATGTGTTACGTTTATAGTAACTGACTCTTCAAATCTGATCGATCTATATAACCATACCGATATAGTGCACACATGTTGACAAGTAGCATTATTGAATAGTACAAAAGATGGGATAAGCACGTAAGTATAAAAGGTAGGTATAATTAGAACTATTGCGCATGCGAAGTGTCATGTCGAACCATAGATTATGATTTTGTTGAACAGAAGGATATTTCGATGGGAGGTAAGAAATAAAATGAAATCAATCAAAAAATGTATACATATTTATTTATTTATTATCCATTTAAACACACTTGAACAAAGTCCACCTACCTGCCTTGAAGTATTTTGTTTCGCTTGAAAATGGATGTACCTACTCGACTGAAAAAAAAAAATCTTGAAAGTAATTGTTTAACAAATAATCACCATACGAACTGGAGAAAAAAGTAGAACTGGGTGAAAAATTCCAGATTTAATTTAATTTGTATCGACTCTAATTTTATAGATTTTTGCATGCTTAATTATAAGGCAGAATGTACACGGATCAATGAAAACTATTCCATCTGTAATTTGATGTACCTACATTCATAGCGAATAAACTTTCATTTGATTTGATTTGATTCGAAATAATTAAATAAGTCATTAGAAGTTACAAGACCGTCGTAACTCGGCCATGTTGGCAGGCCGGCCTGAACACAACACTGGATGTAATTTATCAAAGAAATAGATTTTCATCTTGAATTACACATAGGCTACTTTCTGTCAAAAAAAAAAAATGACAAAATTAAGATTACCCCGAGATAAATGGCGGGTAAGGAGTAAAAAATAAAATACAGAGAGATGTTTAACTATATTTTTATTTTAATAAATTAAGCAGGTTGTTTCATAATACACAATTAGAATGCTTTTCAGTAAATCAAAGTTACACATCACCCAATAATTTTTATCTAATAATACAGGAATGTTGCTAGCCTAGTGTAAAATGTTGCCATACACAAAATATTAAAATAATCTGTTGACAATTTCATATGGATTTTCGCAATAGCACCGGTATAAATTGCTGCTTTTCACATATTTTATATTTATAATGATAATTATTAAAAAAATTATTGCACAATAACATAATACTCTGAAATAGATTTGTCACACAAATTGAATCTTCAACGTGTTAAGATGTGGTAATGGTCGTGTTATAATTCAGTGTTGAAATACAAATAAGAAACCAATGAATTGTAGTAAACAGGATGTGTAAAATTGCTTCCAACTATATGGTTAATGCTACAATATTAAAGAAATTTTTGTAAATAATATATCGTATAAAAATGACGTTAATTATCACGCAGAATGATTTGATAATTTGCCTACAAATATAAAACAGAAATTATATTGAAATTTATTGCATTCTCTTTTGATCACAAAAGTACCGACAAGGTTTATTTACTTAATAAAATAAATAAACGTTTTTGGTTAAAAAAAATTTAGAGATAGGGTTTCGTGAAATTTATTCGTGTATTGGCCGACAAGCTTCAGAGTAAAATGTTAGTTTTTAAAAATATATTTATATATAAAGCCATATGCGACGCCTCAACCATATTTAATAGGCTTAAGAAAAAACCTATAATCCAGTACAACATTGACGTAAGTGAAAAAAATAAATTGCAATCGGTTTGGTAAAATCACAATAAAAATAAAAGTTATATACAACTAAACAAACGATGACTGATGTGAGAACAGAATCCACGGTACATTACCATTTCATATCCTATTACTCTACTTAAATTATATTTTAAATTTAGCACTGAACAATCTTTCTCATCTGTTTATAGATAGCACTTTAATGTGTTCTTTACAAAACGCGGTCTTAGCACTTCATGACTAGCGCCAACACTACGCTACGAATATCACCTGTAGCGTAGCTCTGTGTAGCAATATCACTCGTAGCATGCTCCTCCACTACGAGTATCATACGCAGCGTTATAGTACGCGCCATATAACTCTGCGTCAACGAAGTTCGCGCGAGAAGTGCAGCAAAATTATATTTTAGGTATCAGAGGGGTTATTTCTACGCACTAATCTGCTTTGCTCTAACGTACTGTTGTGAACATAATTGTTAAAAAAATCTGTTAATATTGTTATTTGCTTTGTTTGTAATTTTTTTGTTTATGTTTGTAAGTTGATTTCCTACTTTTAACTCTGATTTACTGGAAACTACTTCAGATTATTATTGATATTATTGTAATAATTTGCCACTTCAATAGACTAAGCTTTGAACATAATTCTAGAACTGTCTATTCTTTGATAACGTATCCCTAGAAGTCCGAAGTTGTTACCAAAAGCGTGATATGTATTTTACTTTTTTGCCACTATAGTATTTAAAATATTAACGTAATCGTTCGGAAATAGATACACAGGAACATTATATTAGTTACGATTTTGAATTAAATAAATTGAATTTTAATATTACTTGTTTGTATCCTAATAATTCATACAAAAATATATCTAAAATGATTCTAGGCTCAGTACATTTGTTTGCGAGTGTACCTGCGTAACATTTGGTTTGCGGCCAACTTTATTGACGCAGAGTTATGTGGCTCGTGCTATACATAACACTACGAATATTACGTACAGCGTAAATACAGCGTATTGCAGCGCTACAAATTTTACACGGAAAGAGGGTTGAATATTAAGCGCAAAACAGCGCTCGGTCCGGTGTTGTAGCGCTTAAATACTACACGTGAAGAGCGTGACGCTATGCTACGGTTTTTAGAGAGAACAAGTTAACAGCTGTATAGGTTTACCCGTGTAATGAACAAGCGACCTTATTCGTCTATTGACATGTGCGATAATCATTTTCAAGCAACGAATTTTGAATAGATCTTATAGGTAATATTTAAATTAATAGGGTCAAGTACACAGCGATCAGTCTCTTGCCATAAATCCTCACTCTTAGCTATATAATTGAACAATCGGGTAAACTACACTGTTTCTAACATGAGAACATTGCATCGACTGACAACAATATACAAAAAAAAAAGTGCTTTTTAAATCCTATACAAGCCCGTAACTACTTGATAATTTGTTGAACTAAAATTGTACTTTTTACCCAAGTCTTCAACAGGATAGCGTTATAAATGTACTCGTGAATTTCCATCGCCAACAGTTGCTGTGTCCACACTCTCGGGCAGGAGTCAGCCCGCCACAGTCGCGCACACCACGTCATTATGTACATAACATTTTACATTAACATACCATATAGTTATAACACTTAACACATACTGAGATTTATCGTCCATGCTCGATACAGCGACGCGATGTTTTGTTAGACGGAGTCATCTGAAACATACGGGCCCATGTTAATAATAGAAATATCTGTTTTTTCTCCCTGTCGCCTTTATCAGAGTCACTCTGGCAATAGACTATGTAAATAAATCTTAAAAACCATTTAACTCGCATCACTGTTACCGTTACCGACACCTCTGTATATAAGTATCTACATATATTGGTCCCGTTTACACGAGAGTTGAGTTTAGATTGAAATACATTAATAATTTAACTATATATATATAATTTAAATATATATTGTGTATATACGTACAATAAAGATATATATTCAAAAAAACAAAAAAATAAAAAAAAAAACAAGTTTTCACTTGTGTCGGCACTCCCGGAGTGATAATGTTTTTTTTTTATTTCATGGTATAGGGGCAAACAAGAAAACGGGTCATCTGATGTAAAGGACTACTGGCTCCTGATCCATTAATGGCCAGATCCCCAGAAAAGGGGGAGGGTGCGGTAACCTGACTCATGTGGTAAAAAGCAACAAATAAATTCCTTAACACCGGTTTTCTGTGAAGCCATCACTTCACTAGAACTAGCCCATCTTTGGGGAAGCATTGCTCTCCCACGGTAATCACACTTCTACCACAAGGCTTGTCGTATCGAAATAAAACTTTGTATATTTAGTTCGGACAATACTATGAATATTGACATCGTGAAACTGATCTGGCGGTGCAGCCAGGATCTAGGTACTGGATTCAGTGGTTACTAGATAAGGGAGATTGTATTTGGTGTCGATTGTCTAATGATGGCGGGAATGTCTGATGATGGGAACAGGCGATGGTTGATGAAACACCATATTTTCTATTTCTTGCAAAAAACCGTCTGGAAACGGTTACATTTATAAGGATGGCAGGAAAAAGATGACGATTGTCAGTTTAACAGATTGATGAACTCCAGACTTGATGAACTGATGTTTACGGGACTTTCTTTGGCAGATAATTTTTGATATAATAATAATAATAAACTTTATTGTAACAAATGATACATACAATTCAAGTGCAAGTCCTGATTCCCGAACTAGCGTGAGGTGTATATCGGGGATCAGTTCCTTCCCAAAGACATTATACAATAAGTTGTTACAATAATCACGTGGAACATACAAAGAAACATTGAAGAATACTTACAAAAGATCTTTTGTTAATTTTGCGTGTGCATGTGTGTGTGTGAGTGTGCGTGTGCTCGTGCATGTGCGCGCGTGTGTGTGTGTGTGTATGTATTTGTGTGTTTGTATATGATATAAGACTCCTTATACCTTGGGTTACTTTTATTTTGGTAACGTAAGGTTTGGGGTTTCGTACAAAGAATTTAAATATTTTAGGCATGATGCCGTGTATCAGGGATTTCTTTCCTAGGGTACACCTGGTTCCCCGGCAACTGGTACCGACATGCGATTTTTGGTCGGTTCGAGTCCGACATAACCACCGTTGGGTGGTATCCGAGGGGATTTCCGGACAGAAAAAAAAGCTATAAATCTGGTGGAGGTGTACCTTTTGGGATGAAGTACGACCGCCATCACGTACTCTCTTATAAACAAAATGAGGTAGAACTATACTGCTTTTTTTATCATTTAACGTCACCTTACTTAAACTATAAAAACGTAACACGTTATTGGCAATTTCAGATATCGATTGCAAAATTGTATTGTCGTCGCCTTTATCAAACCAGATAAGATAATGTTCGTTCTTTATAACTATTTGAAAAGTACATAATAGGGGTTTGAGTATGAAATTACCGTTGTATAGTAATATATACTTTGAATTGACATTAAACCTTCATGGTGTGAGATTTTCGTGTGAAACTTTCTTTACATGATACCCATGAGGTTCTTCTTTTAAAAATTGGGCAACATTCGATTTTTGACTTTCAACTGTTTTTTTTACTGATCTGCAGAAAGAAATGCGTGTTGAAATTTTTGTTGTCTTGTTGAACCGGTACAGAAATGAAGGTATATTGGATCCAATTGTGACATGTGACGAAAAGTGGATTGTTTACGATGACGAAAAAAGTAATTGGTGACCTCAGGTCAAACACCGCAACAGTGTCCTAAAGCAAAGCTTACCAATAAAAAAGCAATGGTAACTGTTTGGTGGTCTCTTCATGGTGTTATTCACTATACGAGGGGTGATCAATAAGTAATGATAATCAATATGAAACAGAACTATTAGATTAAAAAAAGTATTTTATTTTTCAACATAGTCTCCTTGCAAGTTAATACATTTAGTGTATCTTTTTTCTAAGCCCATGATTCCCTTAGAAAAAAATTCTTTGTCTTGACCCTCCCAAAATGCCTCTACTGCGGCCATCACTTCACTATTGTCCTCAAATTTGTTGCCCCGGAGGTGTTCTTTGAGCCGAGGAAAGAGGTAGAAGTCACTGGGAGCTAGATCTGGCGAATAGGGAGGGTGTTCGAGCAGTTCGAACCCCGTTTCTTCAATGGCAGCCATCGCAACTGCGGCTTTGTGAGCCGGGGCGTTGTCTTGGTGAAACAGCACTCCAGCGCGCAGTTTACCGCGTCTTTTTGACTTAATAGCTTCTCGCAATCTTCTTATTTGGCCTGCGTAGTAAGAGCCTGTTATAGTGGCCCCCTTTTCCAAATATTCCACCATAATAATTCCTTCTGCATCCCAGAAAACAGACGCCATAACCTTTCCCTCTGAACTTGACACTTTGAATTTCTTCGGCGTTGGTGAGGAAGCTCGTTTCCAAGTCATTGATTGTTGTTTGGTTTCGGGATCAAAGTGGTGGATCCAGGTCTCGTCCATGGTCACAAAACGCGACAAAAAAATTTCTTTATCGGCCTGGAACTTTTGAAGATTCACCCTCGAAATGTCGACTCGTTTCTTTTTTTGCTCGTCGGTTAACATTCTCGGTACCCAACGCGCAGAGACCTTTTTCATATGCATTTTGTTGATAATGATTTTTTGAACGCTGCCGTAGGAGATCCCTGTGACCTCAGCTACATGCCTTACGGTCACCCTTCGATCGGCCAACACGATATCTTCCACTTTTTTGACGTTTTCTCCAGTAAGGGACGTGGAAGGGCGTCCCTCGCGATGTTCATCTTCAGTGGAGGTTCTGCCCAGCTTAAATTCCTTTGCCCAGCGTGCGACTGTGGAATATGGAGGAGCAGACTCCCCCAATGTTACCTCTAAGTCGCTGTGTATGTCTTTGGTTGACATTTTTTTCAGGCAGAGGTACTTGATGACAGCTCTTATTTCATTTTTCTCCATTTTGATGTTTTCTCTTCGACAGTTCGTATTCAAATGAATGTATCTCCCGGTAATGTTGTCCTATTTATACATTTTTTTGAAGCTGAAGTAGTGGATATATAAGCAAGCAGAAAAAAAATAATTTGGGTTTTTGTGCGTTCTAGAAATACTCGATTATCATTACTTATTGATCACCCCTCGTAGCTCTTTCAGGTCTGGTCAAGCAATAACAGCAGCTGTTTATTGTGCCGAATTCCGAACAATGTTTATTTTTTTTTCACCGAATCGATCTTCACCATTATTGCTCCATGATAGCCCAAGACCCCACACTACACGAGAAACCGTTGTAACTCTACAGGAGCTGCAGTTAGAAACCATACGTCATCCACTGTACTCGCCAGACCTTGCTCCAACGGACTTTTTCCCAGTAGGCAGTACAAAATGCTTTTACACAGATTGTTGAATCTAGATCCCCAGAGTTCTATAGTAAAGGCATAAATAAACTTCCGTTTGGATGGCAGCAATGTATAGATAATCAGGGTAAATATTTTGATCAAATAAATAATTTACATATAACTCTGAATACATTAATTAGTTCGGGCTCGATGTGTAAATAAAGGGGGCGTTAATGAAGAAGTGATATTTATGTAATTTATAAATTAATAGTTTCTAAAAACAGAAGCCACATTAAATTGTCATTTTTGACAGTTAGAAAAGAAATCATCACTTGAAAGTGAGAAGCCTAAGTTTTGAAAACAGTAATCCCCCCTATAACACGGTACTCTTATAACGCATTTTCATATTACGCGATTTCAAACCCTCGTATAGAACGGGTATACCCCCATATAACACGGGGATTTCCCATGTTATATTTCTGAATTGTGAAATTTATAATGATTTGTAGAGTTCATAATTAGTTCATAATTCGATTTAAACCCCCTTTTTTAACGAGAAAAGTAAAACGTGAATCATTTGTACATAACGCGTTATATGGGATCGTACAAGCGCGTTATACGAGAATACTCCTACAACGCGTTTTCCTATAACGCGGAACAAATCTACCGTGTTATAGAATTACTGTATATCACTTACGATAATAAAAGCTTGCGATTATCTTAATAAATTTACCAGGTTCAACGATTTTCGTAAAAGAAGAAAGTAGAAATTTCATTTTTTTTCTTTGCCAGAAATCCCGATTTTTCTTTTGTGAAATCAAGTTTGAAAGTTAATTACACACGAAGCGCACACGCACCTTGAGACATTCAAAAGGCGTGCCCTTGAAGTGGAAGACTACTATGACATAATTAAAACGATAAATTACTATAGGTAATCACTTCAACTGACGGAGCTACTGTGTGTAAGAATAATTTACCCATTGACGGATACGCTTAACTTAATTAACATATTTAAATTAAACTGTGACATTTAAAATGTGAAATTCGCAGATGACGGTTAATTTATTTTTTTCTGTTGTAGCTTTTTATGTAGTAGCAATGAACGGAGCTAAATCAGATTTTTATAAATGCGACTTATTTAAATGAAAAAACGTTGTTCTTGTCTTGTTCTTACGACATTTACGGGATGAATAGGGCTGTTGACCCTCCGTATTCTTCATCCGTCACGATACGGACAGAAGATACATTTATGACGAGTGAAATATATTTTTTTAAGTAATTTAATAAAAATAAAGCACTCACCATGATACCACCATTTCGTTTTCTTAGGATTTTTGTTGCATGTTTTAACGTAAAATGAATTATCCGGTGGTCGTTTCTGAAATGTAAAATTAACACCATTTAATTGCCTCCTAGTAGTTAAAAGCGAAGATAATTTTATAAAATAAACCTAAGCTTTTATTCTATTTTATTTTAATAATTTACGTCCATCAACAGCCTTTACTAGTCCACTGCTGGACATAGGCCTCTCATTAGAAAAGAGGTTTTGGCCTACTACACCACGCTGGCCAGACGGGTTGGTATAGGGTTTGTGTTACAAATGCCTGGCATCGGGACACACGCGCGTCAAGTGCGACAGTTGTTTTGACTGCGGCGGACTGTGTTTCCGCTGCGGTCAACCGGGGCATAAGGCGGCAGAATGCTCTGCCGCCCCTCACTGCCCAGTGTGTGCGGCGGGCAATAAGCCCGCCAATCACCAGATGGGGCAGAGAGGCTGCAAGCCTCCCCGCAGTTCTCGGCAGACGTCGGGGGTTAGCCAGTCGACCCAGGCTGCCTCCGATGTAGTTCGTGCGTCGACGTCGTCGCCCATGGAGGAGGTTGTAGAGACGATCCAGTAATGGATCAAGTCTCCAACCTCCTGGTCCAGACGAACCTGAACCACTGTGCCGCGGCGCAGGATCTCTTCCTGCAAACCATGGCACAGTGGTCGATAGGTGTTGCCGTAGTCGCGGAGCCCTATTCTGTCCCTCCCCGTCCAAACTGGATGGGTGACTGGGACGGCTCCGTGGCAGTCGTCGGTTCCACGACGGCTCATTCCCCGCCCTTGTCGCTAAGAGACAAGGGCACTGGATATGTTGCCGTCGAGTGGGGGGGGATCACCATATATGGTGTCTATTTCTCCCCCAGCCGGAGTTTGAACGACTTCGAGGTTTTCCTAATCAGCTTGGAGACCTCGATACGGCGACTAGCGTCTGGGCACGTCCTTGTGCTGGGGGACTTCAACGCAAAGTCCATTGCGTGGGGTTCCCCCAGGACGGACGCCAGGGGCGGGGCCGTAGAGGAGTGGGCGGCCTCGGTGGGCCTCTGTCTTCTAAACAGAGGCTCCACCAACACGTGCGTGCGACAGCAGGGGGGGTCGATAGTGGACCTCTCGTTCGCTACCCCTGCCCTCGCCGCACGAGTAAGGAACTGGCGTGTCCTGGAAGAGGTTGAGACGCTCTCGGATCACCTGTATATCCGATTTGAGCTCTCCCGGACCCAGGACTCCAGTAGGGGTCACGTGGCGCGGCGTTTATCCCGCTTTCCGCGGTGGGCTGTTGCCAGGCTGAACCGGGACCTACTAGAGGAGGCAGCCATAATTCACTCGTGGCTGTCTCCTCAGGCTCCGACCGAGGAGGTCGACGTGGGGGCTGGCCGCTTTCGCGATGCGATTACGCATGTATGCGATGCGGCCATGCCCCGCGTTCGAGGTCGTCGGCCTCCAAGGAAGGAGGTCTACTGGTGGTCCCAGGAGCTGGCGGACCTCCGTGCGGCCTGTACACGTGCCCGGAGGTCCTACACGCGCAGTCGGCGGCGTCACCGTGGAGATGGTGAGGAGGACCGGCTTCATGAGGAGTACCGACGGGCGCGGAAAACTCTGAAGCTGGCCATTAGCCGCGCCAAAGAGGAAAAAAGACAGGAGATGCTGGAGGGTCTTAATCGTGACCCCTGGGGTCGCCCTTACCGCGCGGTGCGACAAAAGCTCCGCGCGTCGGGCCCCCCCCTTACGGAGACTCTCCAGCCCAGCTTCCTGCGAGAAGTGGTTGAGGGCCTTTTCCCACAACGGGCGGAACACACTCCCCCGTCGATGGCCTCCCTGGCCGGAGACGACGGGGAGCACGGGGAGGACAATGTTCCGCCCGTCCGGGAATCGGAGGTAGGGGCGGCTGTTCTACGGATCCGTTCCAAGAACACCGCCCCTGGGCCAGACGGGGTACCGGCCCGAGTGCTGGCCCTGGCCCTCAACCACATGGCAGACCGCCTCGGGGAGGTGTTCGACGCTAGCTTGGCGTCGGGACGCTTCCCTGAGTGCTGGAAGAGCGGGAAGCTGGTCCTACTGACGAAGCCGGGACGGCCTGCCGATTCGGTCGCGGCCTATAGGCCCATCGTGCTGCTGGACGAGGCGGGCAAATTGTTTGAGAGGGTTCTTTCTGCCCGCATCGTCCGGCACCTCTGCGAGGTGGGCCCCGATCTGTCGGACGCCCAATTTGGTTTTCGGGCGGGGCGTTCGACAGTCGACGCCATGTTGCGCCTGAGGGCCGTGACCGAAGAGGCCGTGAGCTGTGGCGGCGTGCTGTTGGCGGTGTCATTGGACATCGCCAACGCATTCAATAGTCTGCCATTCAGCTGCATCAGGGAAGCACTCCACTATCATGGGGTGCCAAAGTACCTGAGGCGGCTGGTGGCAGACTATTTAGAGGAGCGTACCGTCGTGTACGAGGACCGAGAAGGTAATCTGAGGTGTCGGCCCATGTCGTGCGGTGTTCCACAGGGGTCTGTTCTTGGACCCCTCTTGTGGAACATAGGGTACGACTGGGCCCTTCGCGCTGATTTCCCCCCCGGGCTGGGTGTAATCTGTTACGCAGACGATACCCTCGTGACAGCCCGGGGGGCAAACTTCCAAGAGGCGGCGCGCCTGGCCACAGGGGGAGTCTCCATGGTGGTCGGGCGCATTGAGGCGCTGGGCTTACGGGTGGCCCTAGATAAGACGGAGGCCCTGTTATTCCATGGGCCCCGTCGTGGTCCACCCCCTGGCGCCTCAATCGTGGTCAACTCGGTCCTCGTACCGGTTCGGGCCCAGATGAAATATCTGGGCCTGATCCTCGACGGGAGGTGGCTCTTCGACGAGCACTTCCGACAGCTTGCTCCAAAGCTGGTCGGCGCTGCGTCTGCCCTAGGGCGACTTTTGCCCAATATGGGTGGACCCAGCGTCGCGACAAGACGGCTGTACACGGGGGTTGTCCGGTCAATGGCACTGTACGGTGCACCGGTGTGGGCGGCGGCTCTGACCGCCCAGAATAGGGTACGCCTCTGGCGCCCTCAGAGGGTAATGGCGGTCAGAGCCATACGCGGTTACCGCACCGTTTCGACGGAGGTGGCGTGCGCGTTGGCCGGAACTCCCCCGTGGGATTTGGAGGCGGAAGTGCTCGCCGAAGTTTATCGGCGAGTGGCTGACTACCGGGCGGAGAGCGGATTTCGCCCTCCGCCCGAGGATGTGCGCGAGTGGCGCGAAGCCGCTCGCCGAGCCACGATGGCTCGTTGGTCGTTCCGGCTGGAGACTCCACGCGCTGGCTTCGCCGCCGTGGAGGCTCTCCAGCCGGTCATCGCCGAGTGGGCAGGGCGGCAGCACGGGACCCTTTCCTTCCGACTGACGCAGGTGCTTTCCGGGCACGGTTGCTTCGGAAAGTACCTGCACACGGTCGCTAGGAGGGAACTGAGTCCCGCCTGCCACCACTGCGACTGCAGTGAGGACTCGGCCCAGCACACGCTGGCGGTCTGCCCCGCATGGGCGGCGCAGCGCCGGGCCCTCACTGCAGTCATCGGAGTGGATCTCTCGCTACCGGCCGTAGTACGCTCCATGGCCGGTAGCGACAGTTGTTTTACCGCGGTCGCAACCTTCTGCGAGGTAGTAATCTCGCGGAAGGAGGCGGCGGAGAGGGCCCGGGAGGACGACCTCCACTCGGACCCGATCCGCCGCCGGCGAACCGGGCGGCGGAGGCCCGCCTACCACAGCCTCATGCCGCCCTGAGTGTGGCCGCGGGTGGACGGGGTGGGTTTCCCCTCCACCCGCATTAGTTTGGCCAGCCGCGAGGGGGCGGCGTCCGCGTGTGCCGGACGTCGCCTAAAGAGAGGAAAACAACAATATTGAGACGGAGCCCGCACCAGGAGCGGGCTGGCGCTAGGAGGGGTCCGGATGTCTTAACAACAGCTGTTCCCGGATCCCTCCTGTTACAGGCGCAGAGTGGCACACCGTGTGGTTTTAGTCGGTCCGAGTCCGACACACCACCCCGCCGCAAACCCCGGAGGGGTGACGGTCCGAGGGGATTTCCACACGTTAAAAAAAAAAAAAAAAAAAAAAAAAAGGGTTTGTGTCAAGTTTTCCTTCTCTCTGCAGTGCTGTTGTCCTGCGTAGTTTGCTCCCTTAGTCGGCTCTTACATCACCCACGGGACGAATAGGGGTGGTGACACTCTGTATTCTTAATCCGTCACCACACGGTTTAATGTATAATATATTCTTTAATAATTATTCCCAAAAATTAGTGGTGCAATTGCAATTATCCGAGTGACAGAGATGGAAGTTTTGTCGTATTTAACTATATACGAAAGCTTATTTATTTATTGTTTAACGAACATAAATTGGGCGATAAGTGGTGAAAGCAAATTAGATCTAACAGTTTTTGAAGCATCTATACTAATGAACTCAGGAACTACTGGTCCGATTTGAAAAATTCTTTCAGTGTTAGATAGCCCATTTATCGAGGAAGGCTATAGGCTATATATCATCACGCTAAGACCAATAGGAGCGGAGCACTAATGAAGAATGTTTAAAAAACGGAGAAAATTTATTACTATTGAGAGACGCAGGCGAAGTTGCGCGGGTCAGCTAGTTCTAAATAAATGTATAGTCACGAGTTCGCGATTTCTATACCGACCGGTATGTATCAGATTACATTTTTATAACACATGTTTTCAATGCTTCTGTTTGGGAGTTTTTAGAAGCTGGTAACATGTGATATCTAATTGATATTATGAATATGAACTGCAAAAGTAATACTTAATTAGGATTAAATTGTTCTAAACTAAAGAAATTCTAATAATTACGACTGTTAATTCTTGTGAGATCGTAAAATAATGCCAGTTCTTAAACTTGCACTATGGGAAATATGAAAACCAAAGACAAAACGGCAATTTTAAACTCTGTTCATTATACTAGTTTAGCGATTTATTACCAGGATCTCAAAAGGTACAAAGCGGTTTTACTACTAGGTACTGAAAGAGTTAAAAAGTAAATACAGTACTTTCAGAAAATGGAAATAGGCTGCGGTTAACTTTCCATTTATTTCCTTAGAACATTTCAAAAATAATAATCTTCAATTTATTAAGATTATCTTTCTTATTTACTTATTTAACTCTCAAAAGTGACCTAGACTCAAAATTCATTTATATATATCGCTTATCTGTTTTGGTAAAAAATATATGATATTTTAACACTGTTGCTGTGGCAAGGTTCGTATTATTTCTTAAAGACGTACATCACTGTGATAATATCAATAAATACTGCGCAAAAAAATAAATAATTCAAACATACCTTCTCCTTACAGCTACTGAGCATGGACACGATAGACAAACAGACTGACTGCACTGACAACGCTGGTGACCAGTCATCCGTCAGAATGGAAAGGCAGATGTGACCGTTGGAGTACACGTGAGGATGTACTGGTATGTTATTGCCTATGAACGTTACCTGCAAAGAGAAAAATGACATATTTATCTCCATAATATGGATTGTGAACGAAACGCCTGTACCACAGAATCAGATCATTATCATCAATATTCTGTCCTTTTTACACGCTTTATATTAGCTTCACTTGTATGTTTGTTTGTATGTTTGTAACCGACTCCTTTGGGCGTGATTTTGACTGACTTTAAAGGGTCAGAATTCGTTCAAACTTTGTAGATATATCGAGGACCGATGACAATACACTAATTTAAATATATATATATATATAGTTTTAAAAAACTAAAAAACACGCTTTCTATAGAAAACCAAACTAAAAAATAAAAAATAAATTTGAAAAAAGCGTTGGGGTGCCTGTTGTCAATAGTAAAAAGCACCCCACGCTGATATAGTAAGCGTGTTTTTTAGTTTTTTAAAACTATATTTTTTTTCATTTTTTTTTACAATTTCGTTTGAGTTCAGCGCTATGAGTAACTTTCCGAAAGGCTTTCGGACGGTTGACTGCCGGACGGAACAAAAAAACCTCTTTTAATTTTTTTAAATTTAATTGCAAGAAAACACTTTCCCCGCGGGACAGCTATTTACGTAATACTTTCCAAAAAACATAATAGATCAAAAATCTGTCGATATTGTAAAGATTCCAGAAGTCGGTATACAAGCTAAAGCCAAGCCAAGTTTGCCACATAATATCAAAAGAAGATTTCGACTGCACAGATGGCGCAGTGGTTTAAGTGGTCGCCACGCCGCTTGCTACTGCGCCGAGTGTTGTGGGTTCAAACCCCACATGGGACGACACTTTGTGTGATCCACAAATTGTTGTTCTGCGTCTGGGTGTTCTTTGTGTCCGTTTCATGTATGTTTGTAAAGTCCCCCGCGACACAGGATATATTCCTAATGCGGGAGTTGTTTTTTTAGAAAAAAAAAAACAAAAAAACTATCTAATACAATAATAATAGTCTCTCTCTCTCTCTCTCTATATATACATGATCTTAGCGTGATGATATATAGCCTATAGCCTTCCTCGATAAATGGGCTATCTAACACTGAAATAATTTTTTAAATCGGACCAGTAGTTCCTGAGATTAGCGCGTTCAAACAAACAAACAAACTCTTCAGCTTTATGATATTAGTATAGATTCGTTTAAGTTCACTTAGTGATGTTGTAAATAAGGTAGGTATTTTAAGAAACCGAAAATTTTAAGATTATGCAATTTAGCTTAGCGCGTTGTCCTTAAATTAGATCTTTTTGGAAATTTCTAATGTAATGACACCCTGCCAAGAAATCCTGGCATTAAAGTTTCCTTTTGAATTTAAGGTAGATTTTTTAAATTTGGGCCCATTTTCTATTTAGATAAAAATAACGAATGTTTGATATTAGACGACCGGATGGCGTAGTGGTTTGTGTAACGGACTGCTAGTCCAAAGGTCGCGGGTTCAATTCCCGCTTAAGTCAAACATTTGTGTGCATGAACATTTAATGTTTGATTTGGTCTGGGTGTTTCTATGTATAATATGTATGTATTTACAAAAAAAAAGTTTATATGTAATTATATCAGTTGTCTAGTACCCATAGTACAAGCTCTGCTTAGTTTGGGACTAGATGGCGTTTTGTGAATGTGGTAGAATATTATTATTATCATTTTAGGTAAGTTTTGGCGTTTGATATAACCTACAATTTCATGTTGTAAATAAATAATAATAAATAAATAAAAAAGCCATTTATTCTACTACTAAATTATCTTACAATACTTGATGAGAATCTAATTAGTAATGCATTGTACATACAAAGTAATTTGCTTATTCTAAATATTAAATACAATTGCAGTAAATTTGATAATAACCAGTAAATGATGCTGAATATTAACTAATCTTTCAATAAATAATATAATCATTAATTAATTGTGGTAGGTGAAATAAAAATAACATTGTAATGAATTGAAAATAATTAATTAATTGTGTTAAATAATAAATAACATTTAGTGGTATATTTCATCATCACTATAAATAATATATATCTTATTTGATTTTTAAAAACCTTAGAATATTTTTTCAAAATTAGTTCATTCTGTATCAAATCATTTTAAACATTAATTCTATGTGTAACATTGCATGCATGTATATAAATTAATATTATTTTATCCATATTATTTTAAATTTTTATTTACAAATTTTGACTAAGTAGTAGTCGCCTCCTTGGCGTAGGCCTCCCCCATTTCCTTCCAGTACTGCCTGTCTCTGGCTTTGGTCATCCAGGTAGGTCCTTGTCTTTCTAGGAATACATCTGCCCAACGTTTCCTTTGTCTTCCTTGTGATCTTTTCCCGTTTCTAGGGATCCACTCCGTGACCTTTTTCGTCCATCTATCACCAGCCATCCGACATATATGCCCCGCCCAATTCCATTTCAGTAATCTTATTCTTGCTGTAACATCTGTAATTTTGGTAATTTTTCTAATTTCATGGTTAGTAATTCTGTCCTTTTTACACGCTTTATATTAGCTTCACTTGTATGTTTGTTTGTATGTTTGTAACCGACTCCTTTGGGCGTGATTTTGACTGACTTTAAAGGGTCAGAATTCGTTCAAACTTTGTAGATATATCGAGGACCGATGACAATACACTAATTTAAATATATATATATATATAGTTTTAAAAAACTAAAAAACACGCTTTCTATAGAAAACCAAACTAAAAAATAAAAAATAAATTTGAAAAAAGCGTTGGGTGCCTGTTGTCAATAGTAAAAAGCACCCCACGCTGATATAGTAAGCGTGTTTTTTAGTTTTTTAAAACTATATTTTTTTTCATTTTTTTTTACAATTTCGTTTGAGTTCAGCGCTATGAGTAACTTTCCGAAAGGCTTTCGGACGGTTGACTGCCGGACGGAACAAAAAAACCTCTTTTAATTTTTTTAAATTTAATTGCAAGAAAACACTTTCCCCGCGGGACAGCTATTTACGTAATACTTTCCAAAAAACATAATAGATCAAAAATCTGTCGATATTGTAAAGATTCCAGAAGTCGGTATACAAGCTAAAGCCAAGCCAAGTTTGCCACATAATATCAAAAGAAGATTTCGACTGCACAGATGGCGCAGTGGTTTAAGTGGTCGCCACGCCGCTTGCTACTGCGCCGAGTGTTGTGGGTTCAAACCCCACATGGGACGACACTTTGTGTGATCCACAAATTGTTGTTCTGCGTCTGGGTGTTCTTTGTGTCCGTTTCATGTATGTTTGTAAAGTCCCCCGCGACACAGGATATATTCCTAATGCGGGAGTTGTTTTTTTAGAAAAAAAAAAACAAAAAAACTATCTAATACAATAATAATAGTCTCTCTCTCTCTCTCTCTATATATACATGATCAGTTTTAAATTTTGTTTTAAAATCTCAAAGGCATGCCCATATTATCATTTACATTTGATATCATTTACCCTAAATTATTTTACCTACTATGGTAATAAGACATTTGTTCCTCTTAATAGTTTAAAATGTAGTCCGTTTAGACCCCTGTACACCGTTAGTGCGGTCGGTAGGTCGGTATTGTGCTTAAACGTAAATTGAGGTTGCGTAGATGATTTGATAACACTTTCTAGTAATAATTCAAAATAATCTCCTCTTTTAATAATAATAATTCCACACATCTCACACACGGCCGTCTGATCTCAAACTAGGCAGAGCCCAGGTAACCAGACTGCTGATAAACTTATATATTTTGAAATATATCCATATTTTAGATAAATTACACCCGAAACCCAGACACAGAGCAAATGACCGTGTTAATCACACAATATTTTTCCTGGGTGGGATTCGAACCCACGACTTCCGGCTTAGCAGTCAGGGCCACGGATCACTAGACCAACAGGCCCGTCAAGTATGTAATTAAAGAGAAATCGAAGCAATAATATCTCTTAGGCAATTTTGCATGTTTGACATGACCTCAATACGTCACACACACACACACACACAGAGAATCTTAATGTATCTGTGTTAGTAGGTAAGTATTTACTTAGGACAATCTATATAGTTTAAGTCATTTGGTATTGAAATGCTTTCATTAAGGTCGAACTGAGAAGAATCTGGGTCATAATTAATATTAGATTAAAACAAATTAGCAAACACTTAAATAATTTCCGTCGGTTCTTTTTAAATTTTATTCGTTTAAGTTCACTGAGTGATGCTGTAAATAAGGTAGGTATTTTAAGAAACCGAAAATTTTAAGATTATGCAATTTAGCTTAGTGCGTTGTCCTTAAATTAGGTCTTTTTGGAAATTTCTAATGTAATGACACCCTGCTAAGAAATCCTGGCATTAAAGTTTCCTTTTGAATTTAAGGTAGATATTTTTAAATTTGGGCCCATTTTCTATTTAGATTAAAATAACGAATGTTTGATATTAGGCGACCGGATGGCGTAGTGGTTTGTGTAACGGACTGCTATTCAATGGTCGCGGGTTCAATTCCCGCTCAAGACAAACATTTGTGTGCATGAACATTTAATGTTTGATTTGGCCTGGGTGTTTTTATGTATAATAAGTATGAACTAAAAAAAAGTATATATGTAATTATATCAGTTGTCTAGTACCCATAGTACAAGCTCTGCTTAGTTTGGGACTAGATGGCGTTTTGTGAATGTGGTAGAATATTATTATTATTATTATTTTAGGTAAGTTTTGGCGTTTGATATAACCTACAATTTCATGTTGTACAGACACTAAAACCACAGCTACAGAATATGACTCCTCGTCTATCTAGGTTACCCATAAACTATGTGTATGTAATAGGTCTTTACTTATGAAATTGCCGTTTTGTATGCAATAAGTGAAAGTACTTATTTTTTCAAACTTTTTTATTTCTGTTATTCGAAGCAATCACCCATGCAATCGACGCATCTTTGCCAACGCATTGGCAGTTTATTGATGCCCTTCTTGTAAAAATCTGCTGGAAGGGAGGCAACAACCTCTTCAAAGGCATTTTGTACTGCCTCTCGGGAATTGAATTTTTTACCCACTAA